GCAAAGGTTACATCTTCCTCTTCTTCGTCCGGGATTGATCTTGAAGTGAATGGAAACAACAATGTCGATTCGTATTCTTCAGAGCAAAATCCGGTTAGGAAATGTATGCACTGTGAGGTTACTAAGACCCCACAGTGGAGGCTTGGGCCTATGGGGCCAAAGACGCTTTGCAACGCGTGCGGCGTGCGTTACAAATCAGGAAGGCTTTTCCCGGAGTACCGTCCAGCTGCTAGCCCAACATTCACTCCAGCTCTTCACTCAAACTCCCACAAGAAGGTGGCTGAAATGAGAAACAAGAGATGCATCGATGGCGGCTACACAACCGAAAAGAATGATCAGCATGAACTTATCCCGAACAATGCCTACATTGGTGTAGACTAAAACCGAGAAAGGTGACTCGGTTTCCAAGTGTTTGAAGTGATTAGAGTTGAGAGGAGTAGGAAAGAGTCAGTGAGCAGAGAAGTTTTTTAGCATTAGAAGAGATGAATGAAGAAGGAGCAATCAATTGGGGGGATCAAAAGTTAGATGAGAATTGATTGTATTTGTATTTTGTATTTGTAGTGTGAATGGGCAAAAACTCTTGAAACAGAGGAAGAGTAAGTTGAGGAAGAGCATAAGATTTTGAAGACATTAGAAAGAAAGAAAAAGTTAGGTGTTTGAGTTTTACATTAAATCTTCCTCTCCTTATTTTGTTCTTTCAATTCTTTGTATTTCTATTGTGAGGATTCTTTTTTCTTTTTGTAGTTGATTTGTTTAGCTAAAGGATTATCTTTTTCTCTTTGTTAAAATCCAGTGTTTATAAATTGTTAATTATTAGATGGTTTCCCTACCCTTGAAACTACATGTTTATCAATTAGAGAAATTACTCAGATGATTCAAGTACGTAGATTGTATTTATGATTGTTTATGGTTAAGTTAGTGTTGCGTTTAAATCAGTGGTAGAACTAGATATATGATAATAAAGCAATGATGTAAAACTAAATGAAAAATGAGAGATAGAGACTTGAGAGTAACAACCAATATCTTTTTATAACAAAGACTTCATAGACTTAGCTTTAATGTTAATCCATCTATCTATGATGCCTATTTAAGTTAGAGTGTTTCTTAATTTACCAAACCTACTTTCAAAACTTAAATCATTTAATTTCTTACTCTCTTTTACTTTCATAATTATGGAAAATGTTTTTTTTCAACATATTAATTTATTTTGGTGATCATGATTATAACAATGAGCGAATTATTTTAGTTACGTTCTCATATTTTTATTGTCAAACAACAAAGAGAACTTGGAATCGTCTGATAAGTAGTGGGGAAAAAGGGATACTTTTTGTATTCGCCGATGCACAAATAACCAACTCGATTAGACAACACATCTCCCTTCATCACCATTTTAATGATACCATCCAAACA